TGAACAAAGAATAAAATGCGGTAATTCAAACCATTCTTTCCCAGTAAAGAGACCCAGAATTTTCTCTCATTTTTGCCCTTTCTATTAATGGCTTGTCCCTTCTACTCCCATGTTTGTCTAAAAGACTCAGTAATTCTAATGAGTAGGTTTAATTATTCACCATTGGGGGGTAAAAAAGTAAACAGATACCAATAAGGACTCTTGAAACTCAAGGAAAAAAAAGAATGTTTAATTAGCATACAGGCACAACACCCTGCCCGATATGCCTTACTAACAATACAAAGCAATAACCTCAGGTCAAAAGGTAAGTTACAATACATGCAAAAACATCTGGATTGTGCACTAAGTAACGTTAGATATAAGTACATCTGTCAAATAAACATACATCTATCCTCCTAAAGAACAAAACTTCAGAGACCGTTTCAAAAGTAAAGGTACAACAAACCAACCATAGTTGAGCAGCGTATTGGACACAAAGCATCCTACACAGAGACGTTTGACCTTTGGAGGCAAAAACTGTAACAGGCAAATAGCTGAGAGCCAGATCCCCAAATACGTATGAAAAGCTCTCAGTGAAGCCTAAGGTATTATCAGAATGAGGTCTGAAGGATTTTGCCCTTACTGAGTAACACCTATGAGTGAGTAAAAATGTCTCTATTGGCGGGAATTTTAAATCATATGTCTAAGTTTAATGTTGCTGATAAGAGTGAAAAGAGGAAAGACTGAATATTGATACAAATAAAAGAACATTTTTGTAAAACCCTTAAAATAAATAATGATTATGAAGGAAAATTTGGGATCATGAACATGCCCTGAAATAAAAAACAACATGGTTAAAATTAATAAATACTTTAAATAGTTATGTTCCTTTTTATCCTACAGAGTAATAATCAGTATTAAGAACTAGGAAAGCAGAAAGAGGACAGAGACCTCCCCCTCACTTTTAAATAAGGGTGAACAGTCCCACTACCATCTCTCACTATTAAGCGACGCGTTCGTGTGTTACAGGACTAGCTGAAAGAACGGGACGGAATGTACACTTAACTGCCACTGTGAATTCAACGGACCTGTTTTTTCTTCTACATGATGACTAACCACGGGCTCAGTCCACTGATGATACCGGTGAGTTTCTCCCCCTCACTTTTAAATAAGGGTGAACAGTCCCACTACCATCTCTCACTATTAAGCGACGCGTTCGTGTGTTACAGGACTAGCTGAAAGAACGGGACGGAATGTACACTTAACTGCCACTGTGAATTCAACGGACCTGGTTTTTCTTCTACATGATGACTAACCACGGGCTCAGTCCACTGATGATACCGGTGAGTTTAGCGGGGGGAGGAGAGGGCCAGGGTGGGGGAGTGAAGGCTGGGGTGAAGGCAACGCTAACCCCGTTACTAGCGGGTGACCAGTGTTCTCTCTCCCATGGACGGGGATGTGTCTGTGCTGCTGCCCCGGCTCCCAGGTAGCCACGGCCGGAATCCGGGCTGCTACTTATGCAATAAAAAATA